TTGAGTGGCTGCAGTCCTGATCCTCAAATTGTACCATTCCGGGGAGATTACCTGCTTTTGAAGCCAGAAAAAAGCTACCTTGTAAAGGGAAATATTTACCCGGTAGGTAATGACGTTTCTGCCTTCCCATCTTCTCAAGCTGGCTGTAGTTATAAAGGAAATGCAAACATCCACAGTAAGAGAAGAGTGAGGCCTGTGGCACTCGTCATCCCAGCTACTCGGGAGGCGGCAGCAGGAGGATCTTAAGACCCTCTCTCAAAATAAAAGTTTAAGGAATAGAGATGTATTTAGTGGTAAAGTAGTTTAGTGGTAAAGTGTTTGCACAGCATAGTATATGCAAGGCCCTGGGTTCCTACTTCCACCAAAGGGGGTGGGGCTGGAGGGCTATTTATGTGGTTAAATCCCTAAATCTGTACATGACTATCCTGGTCATTAAATTATAATTCATTACAGACAAGTCCCCGTCTCCAGAAAGCATGAGGGCACTTTGAGAAGTGCTAGCAAGAGAGAAGCAGAGCTTAGCAATTACAAGGTCTCAAGTTTGATCCCAGATACCAGAGAGTACCTGCCAGGCAACTTTCCCTGATGTGAATCTCAGATCCCAGCCCTCTTTCTCACTTCACAGAAAAGGGATATGGCCATTCTGTGGTCCTAGCAGGTTGAAGACAGAGGCATTTAAGTGAAAACATTCTTCTGTCTGAAACTACCCTGGAAATGAATTCCTTCAGATATATTAGGTTGAACCAGATGCAGTTGATTCAGCTAACATTTAGCTATTTGATGCTTTCGATTTGCCAAAATACCACATTCATCTTCTCCAATCCTAGAAGCCTGTTCAGTGAATCTGGCTTTTTCCTCTGCCAGCCCAAATTTTACTGGCAATTCACAGACATCCCTGGATGTGGTAAGGAGAGGTGACAATCTGAGTTCACCTTTTTTTCTTTCCTCACCCAGGAAGGGTGAGTAGAAGGTTAGTGTGCATTTGTATCAGTAGCATCAGAGTTCCTTGTTAATAAGCAAACATCTGAATATAAAACAAGTGCAGTGAAATGCATAGAAAGAAGTGTTTTCTATTACAAATTGGATGTTGTTTCATGCTAAAGTAGAATGTGAAGTAGTTCTAATACTTCTTTGCTGTGTTAAATCTACAGGTCCCAGACAGCCGATTTCCTTTCCTAGGAGTTCACTTTACGCCAAGAATGGATGGTAGCATTTGGCTGGGGCCTAACGCAGTGCTTGCCTTTAAACGAGAAGGGTACAGACCCTTTGACTTCAGTGCCAGAGATGCTGTGGATATAATTATCAACAG